TACATAAATTAGAGGAAATAAGAGGGATGAGGGGGCAGCAGCCATCTTTGTGTGGCCATACCCCTTGGTGCTAATGGGGGAAAAGGTCCTGACAAGGAGAGGAAGGATGAGAGGGAAGCTGCCATCTTGATTGCTGGTTACCCTTCATGCCACCCCACCCCTTGGCACTGATTGACAGAGAGGCCCCAATGAGGGGAGTAGGAGGGACAAAGGGGCAGCCACCATCTTGTCTGCTGCCCTCTGTACCACCTGCCAACCAGTGCCTTCCCCTCCTGGCAGTGAGGACCACTGCCTTTGTACCACTGGGGAACCAGAATTTTATTTTTATTAAGCTTTTTGTTGTTGATGATTTTGCAGATTTTGTGAACAATCCTTGATTTTGCTTTTTCTGTGAAGTCTGCAAAATCACAAATTAAGTAGGTGCCCAACTATAAGTTTTTAAGCACATTGTAAACACTGGAAAAATCCTCTTCTGGTATTTACTGACTTAAAAAAAAAAGAAAAGAAAACATAATCCATTTATTTTAATATAATTAGATTATGTAAAGGAAAGCTTGGTCATTTCATGGGTTTTTACAGGGTTTGGGGTTTTGTTTTGTGGTTTGGGTTTTTTTTCCAACCATTGTTTATTGTAGGATGCTACAAGCCAATGGGATCTTGTGAGGAAAAGACTATAAGATATGAGTGGTGTGATGATCTGAAATGAAGCACGTAAGCAAGCAGTTAGTTCCATACAGCCATGGCAGTACTGGGGAATGGTGCCCATCATGATTTGCATTTTCTATAATTATATGCAGAGCAGCAATGCAAGGTAGGGCTGGAAGGGATCTCAGAAGGTCATGTAGTCCAACCCTACTGAAGTCAGGATTATCTCTATTTAAGCCATTTTATACAGGTGTGTGTCTAACCTGTTCATACATTTTTATGAATTACTCAACTTTAAATGGCACAATGGCAAAAAGATCAGAGGTCACTGGAACATTGTCCAAATTTGGGATCCCATTTCTAGTACCATTAGTAAAGTTGACACAACTGTTTGGACTGAGAGCATCTTCATAAAATTCGCTAGTGCACGTTCATGTGCAAAGAGTAATTATTATCCTTGGACCTTTTACAGTCCAGATTCCCCATGATACTCTTGTGATGTTTCTCCACTCTCGTAGACATTTTGAATGGAAGGGAGCTCAAACAGTCACCTAGTCCATCTTCTTGACCCAAGGCCAGATCAATTATATGTAAGTATGTGTATCCATATACAGCATCCTAGAAGAGCTGTCTTAAAAATCAAATGAACAGTCCAGCTCTCAGTGGCCCATCCACTCTTCGGCTTTTTGTTCAGACCTCAGTAAATTGGTTAAGCTGGTCCTGCGTCACACTGACGCCAGTCTGCTAATTTGCATCTTAATTGTACCCAGAATTTGCTAGGCAAATATACTACAAGTTATCACCTTATGTGCTCTGTTGAAATGCCAGACTGCAAAAAAACCCCCAAAAAAACAAATAAACCCAAAGAAAAAAAGAAAAATCAGCTCCAGGAAACAGACTGCAATCCACTGACCTCATATCAAATCTTAAACACCTGATAAATAATAAGACACTTGAGCCTTTTCTGACCTACGCTACCTTTGAACAAACACGAGGTTCTTTCTCTTTTTGCCAAACCTCACCCTCTTCCAGAAAACCTGCCTCTTATTTTGTAATGTCTCCTCAAATTGCAGTATTTGACTCTAGCCACTATGCAAATAGGTGCAGTTTTATTGTTCATTAATCACCCTTCCATGTTTTACATAAGCCAAAAAGGAATCAGCGTATCTTGAAATGAATGCTGTTCCTCACTTGCATTGCTCTACCTTTATGGTTCTGGTTTCTTTAGTTACACTGCACCAGATCTCGACATCTTTACAGTGCATACTAGTTTAATCCACCAGTAGTCCCGTTGATCTCCATGCTATTCACTAGAAAGGTAACAGAAGCTGGCTCTATTTGGCACTGTTAAAAATTAGACCACAAAACAGGTTAGTCACCATAGCAACCATGTGTTATTCCCTTCCCATGATCATAACAAGTCTTACTGCTAAAGACACTAGAAACATGAATCAGAACAGGGACTGGCACAAAATCCCATTTTCTGTATTTCAGGCTGATCCGGGCAGTTTCCTCTCCAACCTGAACAAGATCAAGAAATTCAAGGCAACTGTAACCTCTCTCTTGCAAGGCCAGAAGAGAAGAGGTGAAGATGCCTAGTGCAAGATCAGAGAACTTGCTAATCCTCCCCAACAAACTGTACTTGTTAATGTTTACAAAGATACTGTAGCAAAACCCCCAGTTTTTTCTTTTTTTTCTTTTAAAATGCATTCCCTCCCCTTCCCCAACCATTTCTGACTTTTTCTTTCCCTCTCTATTCCCTATAGATAAGTTTAAGTGAGCTAAGACATAGGATAAGCTTCAGCATTTTATTTTGGTAGGAAGTTGTATTTGTTTTGTTTTTTCTCCTTCCTTATATTGTCTAATTATTATGTTTATATTGATTTTTACTGTTCTATATTACTGTTTTACTGGTACTATATGATTTAGGCCTACATAGGTAAGTTAGCATAAGTCATATCAAGTTTCCATTTTGTTTGTCAAGTCTCCATCCTGTCCCCAGGCCCAGTTGTGTAACCCATGACTTACACCTACCCCACCTATGTAACTTGGTTCCCAAATGAATGGGGATGAATGAGGGTGCTTGAGAGACAATGTGAGTAGGTCTAAAAATAGCTCCCCCTGAATGACCAAACCATCAACACCAACACCTGGACCAAGGACTCAGCCCTTGGAACAACCCTCAGCATTCAAGGCACAAAAGATGAGGCAACCCACCATTGTGCCAAGGCTGGATATGCTCAGTAAGAACATCTGGAGCCCTCTGGAACAGGACTGACCTTGCCTGAACAGGCCCTCCCCATAGGAGATCAGAGGTAGTCTGCCCCATAAAAAGGGGTAGTGAAGACTGACTCTTTGGGATGCCCTCTCCGTCTGGACTAGCACCATGCCACACTGCCTATCCACCCAGAGGCCCTGCCGGCGACCCCCCTCTGGACAACATCTACTGGACAAGGACCCCCTCCCAGCCTGGATAGGTAGATATCACCCCCCACCCCAAAAATTCCTTCCTGATGCCTCTTGCAGAGTACATAAAAGAGTGAAAGGCAGACAAGGGTCTTTGGGTAGAGGTGATATCTTTTATTAGACCAACTAAATAGTTGAAAAAATTGTTCTCTGCAAGCTTTCAGCCACAAACACCCAAAAGCTTGCAAAGAACAATTTTTCCAGGTACTTAGTTGGTCTAATAAGGTTCTTTGAGTGGATGTGATATCTTTTGTCTGCCTATGTCCTTAGACCAACACGGCTACAACCAATAACCCTAAATGGGTGAAAGTCAATCATTTGATTGTAGCAGGCAGCAAGGTTTCATTCTCAATTTCTCCTGATTTGCTGGGCTTTTCTTTAACCCTGTTTTTAACACAACCCCCACCCCCAACTCACTTTCATCAATAGTGCTACTCATGTAATGAAATGCTACTCTGGGTAAGCAGGAGTGGAAAAGTCTGGCTCTGCATTAACAAACTGATGTTTGCAAACCACTTTCCTCTTTAAAGCAATAAAATAATTGCTTTAAAATGGAGCACCAAGTTTTATCTAATACTTTTGAGTGGCTTAAAAGTGTTATTGACTCTTCAAAAATCTTTACAAGTGTTCTTAACTATTCTGTTCAGACGTTGACACTTGCATTTTCTTTGGGCACTTCACCTTGGCAAAGCATCATTTAAATCATTCCCCACTTAACAATGCCTTGCTGAGGTAATGTGAGCCCTTTCTGCACAACCCCACTTTCAGCTACTCTGTACCATACACCCAGATAATAAAAAAATTAATGTTGTGAGCTATTGTGTCCATGACCACACTCGTTACTATGTTCTAGTTATTTCTGTATTGTTCAGATGAGGCTTCCTTACAAAGAACCTTTCTTCCCATACTCACAGCTACACAATTGAAGCAAAATGAAGAATAAATCTGCAGCAAATAGAGTAATTAGACACCATTAAGCTTTTTTCAAAGCAGCTCACATCTTAATACAAGAGAAATAATGCAGCCCTCCCTTTTAATGGGGGTCAGGTCTTTCCAGAGCTGTGTAGGACTAAAAGCCAGTAAGAGAAAAAAAGAAGTGTTTAGAAAAATGAAAGGAGAAGGATCGGGCAGTGGGGAGCATATACACGTGTGTCAGTGTATGTCTGCATCTGCGTATTGGGATTCGGATTTAAATGGCTTGGTCTATCTAGTGACCTACTTTAAAACAGACTCTTGATGTGATGCTACTAAAAGTCTCAGTGGCAAAAAAGAAAAAAATCACGACTTTGAGCAGCATTTGTTGCTCCTTCAGCTATGCAAAAACAGTTCCTGTTTGCAACACTGAGACTTCTTTTACAGGGGTTGGAGCCAGCCTGCTCCAAAGTAGACTCTCTCATCTTTGCAAGATAAAGTCTCCTTTGTTCTGAAGGCTCTACCACCAGTTGGATGCTGTCCTGTCCTTCCCTGACACAACGCTGACGTTAGCTTTGACATACTGTGCTGCCCTACCAGAAAACGCAAACATGGAAAGTTGAAACTTGTCTCAAATTTGCAGGTATGACAACAATATAAAGCATAAAGTGCCTTACCTTTGTTCACTCTTCCAAGAGCAAGTTATTTGAGTGTCTGCAGCTGCACTACTGCAAAGAAAAACATGAGTCAAGTTAATAATAAAGACAGGCAAAAGCCACAAACTCCAAAGATTCAAGTTAAACATTTACCCAAATTTGCTCCTATAATCAAACCCCGAGGTTCTGCTTAGTTAGCTGTTGGCATCTTGAGAAACAGGTAACAACCAATCAGCAACTTGTCCACTTACTTCCTGGTCTGAAACTCAGACGCTTGCTGAAGTCACTCAGGCACATCCAGGCTAGGATTTCAACAGCACAAAGCAGAAAAATATTCTGTGTAGAAAACACCCTCCCGAATCCAAGTGAGACTTCAAATATTTACATGCAGGGGGCAGTTCAAAGTTACTTGCTGAAACATGGCCATAGGACAATAGCACTTTACTTTTCTATTTTTGCTTTCTATTTTTGTGCCCAGACAGTTTTTTGGCTCCTAGTACTAGTCCTAAAGCAAGCTGGAAATGTCCAGAGGGCAACCCCAATGTTTATCCTCTCCTGTCAGATGGGCTAAATTACCCAGTATATGGTAATCAAAACTAATTTGGTAGATGCAAAACAATTGCAGAGAAGAGCAGAACCGCTTACCAGTAGACCTTTAGCAGTGTTTGTTGGGCATTTGTCTGCACTATCTCCACCCTCAAGGAGTAGTTAATGTAGCCGTGCACCACCAACCATGTCTTCCTGTTTCTCAGATTGGTTCAACAACATTGACTTTTCCCTGTGTCTATATTTGAGCCCAGACTCAATGGCATTTTCACCTATCCCTTTTCCTTCTTCTCTTTCTACACCCTCCACCAGCCTATGACCCATTCACAGGATAATTCTTCACTCCCCCTTGCCTCATCATCCTGTCTGGGTACTTCAGCTTCTCAATTAAAGCCAACCACTCAGCCTCTTGCCTAAGAAGGCTCAGTTAAGATGATTCCCACTACGTTGGTCACACGCTATTCTGTGTTGCTCGGTCATTGCTATTCACGGTACTGATTTAAAAACCAAATGCTGTCCAGGGCAGGGACTCCATGGAGTTTGTGCTTGTACTGCAAAGCACACTTGAGGTGCCAAAGAGCATTAAAGAAGGGGGGGGGGGGGGGGGGGGGGGGGGG